ACGATCTTGACTGCGAAAGCCGTAAGCCATTTCGAATTCCAGACGTCATGCGCAAGATGGTGACGTCACCGTGTGTCAGTGGAAAGAAACTTTCATGGTTGTGAGCTGCAGACATCGTGGACTCAAGATCGCGCGCATGTCGACTCGTGCGTGATTGACGGAGCAGGCGGTGATGTAGAAGAAGACTCGCACGACCGACTGCATTGCGATATCCTGAGTAGACTAGGTGGAAGAYGACCCGCGAGCYAGGGTCCAAGAAAGTGTACCAACAAGCGATGTTGAGGACGCCAAGAATCGAGGGCGATGCGACTTTCTCCACGCGTCAGATGCGGTCGTCGGAGGGCGCCAAGAATCGAGGGCGATGTTGAGGACGCCAACAAGCGATGTTGAGGACGCCAAGACTCGAGGGCGATGACTGTGAAAGCCGCAAGCCATTGCCCGTTGCTGACGTCATGTGCAAGATGATGACGTCAGCGTGCGTCACTGCATGGGGTCTTCCGTGGTTGTGATCGGTGGGCGTCGTGCGCTCAAGATTGTGTGCGCGTGATTGGCGGAGCAGGTGGTGGCAGAGAACAAGACTTGCACGGTCGAAGTAGCGGAAGGGCAATGGGAAGAGGTGGGGGCTTGAAATGGTGAAGGGGCGTGGGCTTCTTACTGACCTGCGAGTCGACAAACGCCTCCAGCCGACACAAGAAGAGCACAGCGCGAACGGGACGACGTGCAAGGTCTACAGTCGCGTGGCGTTTTCGTTAGCGCCCCCCGCTGTCGACGATTGCTGGAAGAATGAGCGCCTGGATGCGCAAGGGGCCTGCGATATGATGGCGGTGACTTCAAGCGATGGCGGACGCGTCGCAAAGGCAACACACGGAAGAAATCACACCAGCGAATGGGTGTGACAGCCACCCCCATACGTTTGGTGCCCGACAGGAGAACGGTGAGTGGAGTGAGTGGGGCTTGAGGGGCCCTCAAGCCCCTCTCACGTAAGAAATGACACCAGCGAATGGGTGTGACAGGAGAACGGTGAGTGGAGTGAGTGGGACTTGCGAATTTGCAGGTGGGCATTGCAACCGTCCGAAGCAGGTGTGACTTGCGTTTGGTGCCCGACAGCCCCACAAGCCCCACTCAAGGGCCCCTCAAGCCCCACTCAAGGGCCCCTCAAGCCCCACTCAAGGGCCCCTCAAGCCCCACTCAAGGGCCCCTCAAGCCCCACTCAAGGGCCCTGCAAGCCCCACTCAAGAGCCCCTCAAGGGCCCGACAGGAGAACGGTGAGTGGAGTGAGTGGGACTTGCGAATTTGCAGGTGGGCATTGCAACCGTCCGAAGCAGCAGGCAATCGCTGGTGTCGCCAACCCTCACGACCGAAAATGCCCGTCGCTCGCCCGGACCACCCGCCCTTGCCAGCGACACAGCCATCTCGTCGCCATCTCCCCCGCCGTCTACCTCACTTCTCTCCCTCTCCCTCGTCGCCATATCCCTCGCCTCGCCATCTCCTTCGCGTCGCAATCGCCCACGTCTCCATTCGTGGTTTTGCCCTCTCAC